TCCCTAAGGACCTAATGCAGGTGGTAAAAAAGGATTGGGGCTAAGGAGCAGAAGAGGGACTCTACACACATTGCCCCATTCGGTTCTCAGCCCTCAGGAAGTGAGTGAGTGGGCAGGTGGAGAGGAGCAGTGAAACCACCTCCTTCAGGGATGGGGAAATCAATGCCCAGCTGGTAACATTAACCTGGGCCACTGGCCTGTGAGCACGGAGTGAATGCAAAGCCAGCACCTCTTGTTTCCAGGCTCTACACTGCACTGCTGCCTCCACGGGACGTAGATGACTCTGAGCAAGCCACTAAATCTTTCTAGGTCTCGTTTTTCTCTATCTTCAATGATCTTAAGGCTCCTTCCGTTTCTGAATCAGCATTTACGTTTAGGGCAGCAGCTCTGGCAGGCTTTGAAAAGGCCTTTACTCAACCCTAGGTTCTCCATGGCTTTGGTAACAAATGGAAAGAAAACTCTCACGGGCAGCAGAAACCAGCCTTTTCCTCTGGGTTGATGTCCATTTGTCAAAAATTTGGCAAAAGTTACATTCGTATTAGTGAAATCTCAGCATAGCTTCATTCATTGTTTGACACACAAAATTTATGACATCTGTTGGAGGAATGTAGCTCTGAAAACCCTCAAATGTCAAAAAGTCTGTGTAATGGAAGGAATACTTGTTGTTGCACTGCCTGACGTTTCTAATGTCTTTCCAAATCCTTGTCTCCAGCTCTGGAAATGATGGCTCCCTAGATGCCCTAGCGCTTTTTGTTTTGATTGCAGAATTCAGACTTTTTTCCCCCTGCATATACATCTGATTGTAGATTAAAAAGAATTAGCTATGAATAGTGTTGACAAGTTGAAAAAATGGTTAACACACACTCAAATATCTTGAGTAAAAAAGACAGATACATATATGTATTTTTTTTTTTGGAGAAAAAAGAAATCAGGCCCAAAGTATTGAACTCTGGAGGATACAAACCAGCATTTGCAAAAATTAGATTTTAGTTTCTGCTAATGACAACTCTAGAACAATAAGGAGGGGAACTGTTCTCTTCAATGTCAGTGCCAAAAAGTTCAGAATGTAGCCTCAAAGGGCTTTTCTTTTTTCTCTTAATAACTGATTGTAGGCCAGGCACAGTGGCTCACGCCTGCAATCCTAGCACTTTAGGAGGCCAAGGTGGGCAGATCACTTAAGGTCAGGAGTTTGAGACCAGCCTGGGCAATATGGTAAAACCTCGTCTCTACTTTTTTGAGTATTCTCTTTATTTTTATACAAAAATTAGCCAGGCATGGTGGCATGCACTGTAATCCCAGCTACTCGGGAAGCTGAGGCATGAGAATCACTTGGACCTGGAAGGCGGAGGTTTCATTGAGCCAAGATCACACTACTGCACTCCAGCCTAGGCAACAGAGACTGCGTCAAAAAAAAAAAAAAAAAAAAAAAAAAAAAAAAAAAAAAGAACAGACTGTATGTAGCACTCTCATCATAAATTTATAGTTTTTGAAGATGTTTGCCGGGCATAGTGGCTCACGCCTATAATCCCAGCACTTTGGGAGGCCAAGGTGGGTGCATCACGAGTTGAAGAGATTGAGACCATCCTGGCCAACATGGTGAAACCCCATCTGTACTAAAAGTACAAAAAATTAGCCGGGCGTGGTGGTGTCTGTCTGTAGTCCCAGCTACTCAGGGGGCTGAGGCAGAATTGCTTCAAACAGGAAAATGGAAGTTGCAGTGAGCCAGGATCGCACCACTGCACTCCAGCCTGGCAATAGAGCAAGACTGTCTCAAAAAAAAAAAAAAAAAAGATGCTTATGTTTTTACCCTGTGTCCTTTCTCTGTGGAGGTCCACAATGTTTTACTCTGAAAAGGACAACCATTCCAGCTGTTCATTCTGAAATCTGGGCCTCCTCAGTTTCAGCAATGGAATTTAGAATATGAATCTTGAATTTTCTCTCTATACTTCATGGTTCTCTAAATGGTGACCATATCAGCTTCCAGTCTTGGCCTTTCCATATTGAAAAGCCCTAATCCCCGTACCCTGACCTCACAGGCTGGCATGTTCAGAGGTTATCACACCCAGTCATACCCCAGGGGTGTACCATGTAGAGACAGGGCTGTTCTCCTTTTTTATATTAATCTGAAAGATTAGGTAATCATTCTTTGAATTGGCATGATGCTTCATAATTAACTGATCTCATCTGATCCCTGGAACCCAGACAGTAAGTCAGATGTGAAATCACTCCCTCACAGTCATGTCAACGGCTAAACGGTTGACTCAGCCTCCATCTTCCCGGCCTCCTCCTCTCCTAATTATACCTGCGGCTTCATCTGTTTTCACCTGTATCTAGGAACTGTTTTTCTTCTGTAGTAAAATGTTTGAAACAAGGGGAAGAAGATTCCAGGCAGGGCTCAGGAGTCACACAGGGTAAGAGTTTGAAGGCCAACCCTACTATTTGGGAGCTACTGAACTGAGTCTCTGAGCCTCAGTGATGTGAGGCTTAAGTGGAATAACCCTTGTGAGTACAAGTCCTTTAGCACACATAAATGGCACCTGAAAGTATTCATAACCATCATCATCGTTTGGAGTAAAGTTAGTACTCCCTTAGCTTCCCAAGGATGGGTACTATCCTCTGTAGTGGTCTTTGGAGCACAAATGACAAACTGAGGACCACAGCAGTTAACCGTTTTTTTTTTTGTTGTTTGTTTGTTTGTTTGTTTGTTTTTTTTGAGATGGAGTCTCACTCTGTCATCCAGGCTGGAGTACAGTAGCACAATCTCAGCTCACTGCAACCTCCGCCTCCCAGGTTCAAGTGATTCTCCTGCCTCAGCCTCCAGAGTAGCTGGGATTATAGGTACACACCATGCCTGGCTAATTTTTGCAATTTTCGTAGAGACAGGGTTTCACCATGTGGGCCATGCCGGTATCATTTGAACTCCTGACCTCAAGGATTCACCTGCCTCAACCTCCCAAAGTGTTGAGATTACAGATGTGAGCCACCATGCCTGGCTGAGCAGTTAACTTTTATGGAACAAGCCCTAGGTGCCTGGCATTGTGCCATGTACTTGAAGTGGTGATGGATTTGATTCCCACAATTACAAATTATGAGCTAGGTGCTAATCTTGCCTCCATTTTAAAGATGGAGCAGCTTGGATTTTGGGACTTGACAGTTTAGGTAGCCTAATAAAGGTGGAGTTCTGATTTGAAGCCAGATCTGGCTCCCCATGTGAAAGAGGGCCAGGTTTAGGAAAGGCTTCCATGACTACAGTGGTGCAGAGCTGGTTTTTTCCTAGCTGAGGACTAGCAGAGGTGAGCCTAGAGGTGCTGAAACTGTGGGAAGGTTGAGACCACAGCATTTATTTGTCGTGAGCAAGGTGACAGATTTTCAGGAGACCTAAAACCAGGCTCTGAGCCTCTGCTAAGATTCTTGGCCTTATAGCCTTTGTCTTTCGGTGGAGAAGAGATTCCTGATTAAGGGGCATGGAGAACAGTTACAGAGATACTGAATACTTTCAAATGAAAGGATATCTGCATCCAAATGAGTTTTCATAATGTCCCTTCTGCTGTTTGGTTTTAGTGAGAACATCCTTTTTCCTCCCTGCAGTACAACTTAAGCCAGGATTGTGTGTAATCTATTTTGTTTGCTTAAAGTCTTCAAGAGCTAGGAAAATGACTGATGATATTTTTAGTTTCTAAGTCTGACAAAATGGAGATGTATTGGAATTGAGAACTCATGAGTTGGGAAGCAGAAAGTCATAAAGACTCATTAAAGCAGTACTTTAAGTCAAATCACCCTGCTGGGGGACAACAGTAGATTTGGCACATTAACCCATCATTTGTTCATGTGTGGCTATGTCACTTCTGGAGACTTAGCCGATATGTCAGAAGAAAAATCCCCAAACCAGTAAAATCACTGCAGAAGTCCTACATGTATGTGCAGATACACACCAATAACATTGAAAATTACATTTGGAAAGGTGCTCTCTTGCTTGGTTATAACTTTGAGACCAAAATAATGCTGCTTTTAGTGTTTCTGAAAAGGTAACACATGAAACCTAGTTTCTCCTGGACTCTGGGATATTGTTCTGAGAACCCATTTAAGCGGGAAGGCAGGTCAGCTGCACGATCAAAAGTTCACAAATTAAGAACATACAAATGACAGGACCACCAAATTTAGAAAATGTCCTACAATGTGCATTTTATTCCATATCATTATACAATGTTTACATATAGTTATAACTCTCAAAAAATGTCCTTTACCAATTTTATGTAGTGTCTAAATCTTTCACTTTAACATGAAGAAACTGAAGAGAGTGGAAATCCACACTGATTATTATCCTATGGACTGTCATGAGCTGCACGTGTGCCAATCAGAAAGGAATGGAAGTCTCAGAAAAGCAGCGTGGCTTACAGACCCTAGGCTTTCGTGAATTCAGGTATGCGGGATCCACAGTCTCATCTCGTAGTAAAACTCAAAACAAAATAAATTAGCGTTGGACAGAGTTTCTACATTGTACAATATTGAACAAAAGACCACAGGGGGACCTTTGTTGAAAGTAGCACCAATCCACACCTGATTGTGTTTCCAACATTAATCTTCCTGTTGACTCTATCATTGGCACTTTGAATGGAACTTTTTCTGCTTTAGTGAGGATTCCTATGCTGACTAAACATACTGTGTTGCTAAATTCTACAAAGTGTGGCAACATCAACCTGGGAGATGGCACATTTAAACCATTATCGCCCTGACATGGATTTGCCTTTTTGTGTGTGTTTTCCCCACCCCCTGACCTAGCTGGTATAATGTGGATGTTTCTGTGACAGTGGTAAAAGTAAATAAAAATGCATTTAAGGGGTAAGCAGTTGTTTAAAAACAAAACAAAAACGAAATGAAAGAATGTGGTCGCAGCTAAGGAGGTTTCACATGTTGTTTAACTCCAGTAAAGTCTGATCCAGCATCTGATGCATACTAAGGTTTTCTTCTTTGGCATGAGCCACTTTCTCTGTGGTGGGATTAGAAAATTAAGTTATGAATAGCTATGCTTTGGACACAATGGTGGTTTGTACATTTAGGCAAGCAAACATCAATCACAAACACAGGATGAGATGATTAGAACTAGGCATGCTTGTAAGACATTACTCATTTCTAGACACGAATCTAAGTCGGGGGGAGGATGTCTTTGACCCAAAGGAGCCATGGAACGGAGTCTCACAGAGCAGTCAGGTGCACCTCCACCAACAATTCACTATGAAGATAAAATGCACATGGGGTTTGGTGAAGGTTCACTGACTGTGCCATGGGAACAGGGAGAGGTAAAAACCAAATACAGCTGCAGCACTGCTATTCAAACTGGAGAAGTTACTAACAGCAGACATTTCCGAGGTACAGGCAGTTAAAAGTGGGAGTTGTGCAGTAACACAAACTCACAAAAACAAAGATGACATAAATAGGTTTTCTAAGAACTTTTAAAATGATGTATTTCTGTTGCTCATAAAAAAAAAAAAACCAATATGTTTCATGCACACTTCATTAGGACATTCTTTTATTATTTTTATAATGTTCTATTTATTATTAGCATGACATTCTCCCCAGACTCCAACAGCACCATTAGACTGAATAAAGCCTACCTTTCAGACAACCAGGGCTTCTGGCATGAGTTCCTGTTTTCAAAAGCTATTTTGCCCAAGCATAGGTACATTTAATCATATTTCAGACACTATACCAGATATTTATGTTAGGAATATGAATATGTAATAGGAATATACACACATGCACACACACATATATATATACTTAAAGCAGGACTCGTGGCTGTCAGTGGGAAAAAGAAAATTTGCGGGGGGGCGGGGCGGGGGTCCTCATTATCAGTTCAAACAAAAGGACTTCCTATTTCAAAGAGGAGTGCTGAATTGATGTAAGTATTTTACCATAAAAGCTCTTTTGTGATTAAAGAGAATGTAATTATTCCAGCCATATAGAGGAAAATGCAGGCAAGGCCAGACTTTCAGTCAGTTCCTTGCATTTGCATTTCTGCAGAAAGAAACGGTTTTCAACTCTATTAGTTGAAGGTAGGACAGTCTTAGATTTTCTGCACGTGGGCTCCACTCCTAGAATTCAGCCCAAGTTTTTTCACTCTTAAGTTTAATCCTCATTCAGGGCCAGCTTTAGTTCATTAGTGAGGCGGCGGTTTTGCTCAAGTTGCTGGTAGAGTTGATCTGTACAGTCAGCAAGCAGGTTAGCAGAAAAGAGGCAGAAGGAAGAAAGGTTAGCAGACTCAGTGAGAGGCAGTTAATAGAGAACACAGAGACCTCAAGCAGGACAGCACCTGGTCATTTGCTGAGCAGTTTACTCTTACCCCATAGTCACCTGTCCTGTATCGAGGAAGGGTAGACCCTACAAAGCTTTGTAGACTTAGGGTCAGAATTTCGCTCTTGGTGGGGAAAGGGGAGGGGCAGCAACAGGAGGAGGAAGAAAGTGAATGTTCCTCTTATACCGCACTAAACCACTTTGTGAGCTGAGCCATATATAGTTTCTGACAATAGGTTTGGGAATGGAGGCCTGGCTGGAGGCGAGCCAGCATGACATCCACCCCTTACTAGGGCTCAGTGTTGAACTCAGCTGAAACCTCGACCTGCCCAGTGCAACCCACCTCTTCCAGGACCCCTTTCCTCTTGTTCCCAGGGCAGGCTTTCCTCTCAGGTAGTACCAACTGGGGGTTACTGCTTTTGCTGCACTTAAAATATTTTGAAATTCGGAATTAAGTACCTGTCCTTCCCCCAGTCACCAAAACACAGGGTCCACATTCTGACTCTCATCTAGCTTTGACAGTGGTATCCATTCAAATAGCAAAAGAACAAGCACTTGTCTCCACTCAACACTGATTTAGAATTTACCTGTTTGCTTCTTGAAGATGATGACATTCATGTGGCTAAAATGAACAAAGCTTGGAACACCTACATGAAGATCAGCGTGATACACGTTTTACACACTGACACGCGATCTGCTCACAGGGGAAGGAAACCAACTACAGGAGTCCGTCTGTATCTGACGATCCAGGGGACACCTAAGCTGACAAACAAGAGCCCGGTATGCACCGGGAACAGCCGGAGGATGCATGGTGGCTTTGAATGATGGTGACAACTTGGATCTAGAAATATGATCTTGAAAAGCTAACAACCCTACTCCTGGGGAAAATGTGCCTGCAGCCCCCAGGTCTGTCAAGAGATTGAGCAGCTCTCACATTAACATTCTCATAAATGGTAGAAGATGGGAGGATGCTATGCTCTTTACGTTTTCTCACTTGGAATATCTGCGGCTCTGTCCTCTTTGCTCAGTTTCTGAATATGCAAAACCCCTGTCAAATGTCAGCTACCTCCTCCAGGGAGCTCCCAGTCAGAATGGTTCTCTCTTCCTTGTTAACTCCAAATGCACATGCCTATTGGTTCTGACTTGCTTCACTCCTCTCTCCCAGCACCAGCCAGCCAGCTCAAGAGCAAAGAACCTTTCCAGCCTGTCTCTCTACCACACCCCCACTTCTTCCCACGGTGTTTTGCATGTGACATATGCTTGGGGGTTGCAAGACATAGCCCCATTACTACATTTACACTATGGACATAGGGAACTGTCGCCATGGGTAGGGAGCGTGTCTGAGTTTGCTGGGCCCAAATGTTTGGCCAGGCTAGAATGGAAGAATTTTGGAGAAGCTGTGGAGAATCCAGAGGCTCAGTGTGAATTCAGCAGGAAGGACGGTGGTCCCTCCCACAGCCTCCTCTGGACCTGCTCTCCTTCAGCTGCTGTGGAGCTGGTGTGCATGGGTGGCCCAAAGGCAGGGACAAGACATGCTCTTATCCTTGGAAGTGTTCTCCCCTCCCATTCTATGGAGACCCCCAGCTGCCTGAAGCTTCAAGTGCCCAAAAACTCAGTGATGCTTTTGGATTGGCCCACTGGAGCAGCTGTGGCTATGGCCTGGCCCTTTGAACCAGAAGCCTGGGCTCCAACAATTTCCTGATAAACCTGACTAGCTGTTTTCCTCTTGCATATGCACACCCTGGGCTACTCCCGACCTGCCCTTCTGATCCAATAGTGCCTACTTCCCCTTGTAGAGTGTACTTATAGAAAGTGTGAAAGTCTCTGGAAGGGTTTCCAAAAAACAGATGTGCGTCTAGAACTATATGAACATCTGCTCAGCAGAACTTTCACACTTGGCATTTTGTCTACGTCAGGAAGCAGGATTTGATCAGAGAAGGGTACACTTCTCTTATTCTGAATTTAAAAAAGAACAAGGAAGGAGTCATAGTCAGAAGCAGGCCCAAGGAGCCTTAAGAAAAGAAAAACATGAAATTATAGAAGTCTTTATACACTCAAGGGAGAGACATTGTCCAGATTCTAAATTTAAAAGTTCATCATATGACTAAAATACTTTAATTCACAGCTTTTTTTTTTTAAAGTATTTCCTCTCTGCTTTGAAGTCTCTGTAGAGTGAGAATGACATTATCTTCAGAGTTTGTCCAATTTATTTGAGTATGGTGGTATATGGGCTAAAAAACTATATACAAAACATGCAGATCATCCATGTTAAAAAAAAGAAAACCAGGAGAACTATGAAGTCAGATTGTCGAGGAAGGAGAAATGTTGGGAATTATGACACTAAAGTCCCTATTAGTTAAAGTTCTAATTTTTGCAATGTAGTTTTTTTTTTTTTTTTTTTTTTAATCACTTAATTGCTGTTAACCAAAACAGAAGCCCAAATGAAATACAATTGTTGGGGGAAAAAAAGAAACTTTCATTGCTATATTTTAAAAATGACCACAAATAAAAACATAGCCATTGAACACAAAGATTATGTACAATCCCTCCCAAAGAATATGTGCTGAAGAGCACAAAACAAATCACGACTGAACAGAGTAATCATGTTTAGAAAACCTAAGGTGTCATTTTCATGGTCAAAATAAAGGTAGCTGAGTAATAAATATACTTCGAAAAAGCCTGAACTCTTCTTTGTGCTATAAAAGGATCGACAATAACCAAAACTTACATTGTTTGAATCCAAGTTCTTTTTCACCCTTTTCGGTGTATAACTTCCTAGTAACGGGATAGCTATGGAACCATTCATTATGAGCCTTTCATCAGTCAGCTATGTCCTCCCAAGCAGGGCCACTGAAGTATCAACACAGAGGGGTCACTACATCCCAAGCTAAACCTCCAGCAAAGGAAGACACTGATCAAGACAGAACTTACAACTCTCAATAAGCAGCGTCCCCTGTGTGACCCAGACTGCATACCAGAGCCATCACAATCCCCACAAAACCCCAGAGATGTCCAGACCTCACTCTAACCTTTGAAGGGGTGCAGGTCTGGGCATTTTTTTAAAGTTCAACAAGGAACTACTGTGCTTTAGAAGCTTCTGATACAATTCTGTATAGTGTTCAGAATTTAAAAGAAAGCAGCAGCCAAAAACTAACCCTATGTGTGAAGCAGCTCTGTAGTTTTATTCAATGTTGAAACTAAAATGTCAATAAATAAGAAGTAAAAAGAATAGCAAACAGAAATAGCTTACACAGTGTTTATTTGACACTGAAATGATGAGCTTCTGTACAACAGAAAGCACAGTGTGTGCCTGGCTCTAAGGCAGGATGCTAAGAGACAGAACCAGGGTCAGCTGGAGAACAGACAAATGCAGAGCTCAGAGAGGTGGTACATCCAGCTCGACGAGGGAGTCTTGGGAGAAGTGAAGCAAAGAAACTTATCTGCGTGAAGATAAAAAGGTGGGAGAAAAAGGAAAAAAGTGGTACAATGGGAAAAAAAAAAATAAAACAAACCAATAGATGAGAGCACTTGAAACACAGACAAGAAGCAGTCATGCAAAACCCACTGCCAGCCACACCATCAGTAGGACTGCTGTCTTCTCACCTGAGGCCATCACAGGCTGCCTTTGGGCAAAGGTCCATTTTAAGAAGACCCATGAACAGGATTTAAAAACAAATTTTATGCTACACTCATCTTTTGGAATATTTAATCATACTAGATGCAAAAAGTGTTTCCCAAAGAATCACCATGTTTTAGCACTGGAAAAGACCTTAGAGACAAATGATCTGATCCACCCCCTCAATTACAAATGGGGGATGAGAAGACAGACTTTTCTCTGGTTTCCATGGCAACAGTCATGTCTCTAGGGGCTTTTTTCTTGAGTGTGGGGATTCTATAACCTCTAAGGCAGCAGGCACATGCCACACTCTTCAAGTTACCATTTTTTTTTTTTTTTTTGCATAGGTAAATGAATGACAGGTGGGTTTGGAAAATGACATTTCCAGCTTCAATGGAATTTAGGGTGATATTAGAATGAAGAACTCTGAAATATTACAGATTAGAATTTAGTAGAAAAAGTTTAATGTTTAAGTTTGGTTAGTAATATGTAAATTAGTTGTATCTATTCAAGGTTCTTCTCTTGATAATAGGATTACCTACTCCAACTCTTACTGCCTAACAGTAAAATCTGGGCCATTAACTCCTAAGCTCACATTGTACAATCTGTGTTCCATTTCCCATTTCTTTGACACAGGTTATGGTAAATATTCATTTTAATTCCTGGTTATGGTAAATATTCATTTTAATTCCTTTCATTAAAAAAAATTAAAGGCTTTGTTATTCAGCAGAGGGTTCCTTTTACTCTAGAATTCGTAAAAATAAAAGAGAGGATCTTTTATAGTACTATCCTTCAATTTATATTTACTTGATGAAAATGATTATGTTGTACTTAGTTGAATCTCAGGAAACAAATTTTTGACATTTCTTGAGAATTTTCTGTACAACAGCATGGCCATCTAGTTTTACTTGAGTTTAATTTCCCAAAAGGATAGTGCTCAAGGTCACTCATACTAGTTCATTGCTCTCATTTAGCATTTACAAAATAAAAGGAATCTGAAAGGAAAATGGTTTGTATAGACACACTTAATCTAGTTGGCCTTCGTATTAGTAGAAAGTGAAAAAACAATGACTATTCTAAGTTATGACAAAAAGGGTGAACACAGGAGTGCAAAGATCAAGAGTGCAGAGATCAAGAAGCAAGGAAGGGATGGTGGTGCGTTTATTACATTAGCATGAGGGCATGGGTGCAAGCAGGCAGAGTGGATGAACGTTTACATGGAAGTCATATCGTTGAGAGCGTGGTCCAGCTCCTCGCTGATGGCTTTGTACTTCAGTTTCTGAGCGTACAGCTCGTCTATGACCAGGAAGTGGAAGGCAGAGGTGCAAGAACATGAAGAGTGATCAAGAGATGGAGGGTAAGTGAGGGTGGTGCGCGCACCATCCCAACACAGCAGCAAGAAAAAGGCAATGCATTGAAGGGGTTGGTGCCGCAGCAGGTGGCCAATGCAGGAGGCGTGCGTTTTGTTTTAAATAAATTGAAACAAAAACAAAGAGAACAAAACCCATTAGAAAATAAAATGAGAAAGACTCATTACGAAAATCATAGCAAACATGGTAGGTCTACCAGTAAACCATGTTAAATTCTACATGAAACCACAGAAGGCTGTCTCCTGGTCAATGGGGCAGGGGCTAATGAAACATTTTTCTTTTGCAGAGCTATATTTTAATTACACTGGAGTAGTCAGCCACCTGTAGCTATAAACAATGGGGAAAAAACCCAAGGGCAGTGTGCTGGAAGAACAATTTGCAACTACAGCCTGTAGTCCTTATCTGGCTCCACCTTCAAACCACTGACTTCCTGACCACACCAGACCACTGGGATAGCGATTTCTTAGTGTCATTTAAGCTACTCCTGTGGTCTTCCCATTCCAGCTGCCTATTACTGGTCCAGGAGGCTTGAAAAACAAAGAGCGCCACACTTTATATGGCAAGTCTGCAATTGAGTTTTTGTAATTATGCAGGTTTCCTACTTTGCAGCACTTTGGCAGATCATTTTGCAACCATTCGTCATTCTCTCTTCTCTACTATTTTGGTTATTATCTGCGCCAAACACTAGTTCCTTCTCTAATCCCTTCTGTCTGTGATGTATATGTTTGTCTTTTTTTTTTTTACAGTAACCCTTCACAAGCTTCAAAGCTCAACAGTTAGGATATCCGTGAGACAGAGTGGTTATTACTAATATAAAACCTAAATGCCTTAGGAGAGAAATGCTTAACTATATTTTCTGCTCCTCCTTCAGGATCTAAAGTACTTTGCTAAGATAATATATGACTTTAAAAAAAAAACAACCCAAATCCTTACTTTGAATTCATACTTGGAAGAAGATGGATTCTTCTAAAAACAAGTCCATATCCTTCCCAATTTAATTAGGAAATAACACTAAAGTTTGAAACTATACTAGAGTCATTCTCACCTATAAGCACCTCACTCAGTGAAAAATAAACCTGCCACACTTCTGATGAGCATGAAGTTAAGCTAGATGGTGTCTGCCACTATGGCTGGTGGCTAACTAGTCACCTCTTGAGCAGAAGACTCAGGTTTATGAGTTTAAAAGCCACAGAGGAAAACCCCAGAGGACAGACAGAAAGAATGTGCAAGTGCAAAGGAGTCTATCAAGGTAGATGGAAAATTTGAATTGGACAATCTGCCAGATCAGTATTCAATCATAAGGAGTAAACGAAAAACAGTACTTAAGGAGTAAACAAAAAACAGTACTTAAGATCTTACCTTCTAAGTCATCAATGCTTTTCTCCAATTTAGTTACTGACCTCTCCGCAAACTCAGCCCGAGTCTCAGCCTGTAATGATTTATTTGAGTCAAACTTGGGAAGTTTTATGTTTTCCTTAGCTACAAACATAGGAAAAACTAGAGGATGAAAATGAAGCACATCGCCCATAAAATGGATCTGAGACTACTCGTCAGTTTCAGTCATTAACGTGAGAAATGGCAACTAGTACGGCACATAAACTCCAAGGCGACCTTTGAATATTCCTGACTTGGATCATTGGACCTTTAAAATGAAAAGGCGCTGACTGGTTCCATGAAAACAAACTAATTTAAAATCCAGTTGGCTTTATCCACAACTCTCACATTACCTCCTTCAGCTTGTCGGAAAGGACCTTGATCTCTTCCTCATATTTGTCTTCCTTCTGCGAGTACTGTAATTAGAAAGAGCATTCCAGATGTCAGGCTGCCGCTCACTCTACTCATGCCTTCTCATGCAAAGAACTCGCCAGCCCAGCCAACAGATGTTAAGGATGTCTTAGGAGGTAATGGAACCTCTGATATCAAATGGCACACTGCAATACATTCTCTGCTTTCTTGCCTATTGTTTTACATGGGATAACAAGATAACTTATCCACTTGGCACTTGGTTTAAATTAAATTGATGACTCACAGCCCTAACATAAAATAAATTCTCTAGTTAAAAAAAAAGAATTTGTTATCTAGTAACTCTCCAAAAATCACCTCATAATATTGTCATTTACTAAAATGTCTATGTACTGTTGCTTTCACCGGCAGGACCTCTTTTGAGCAGCACTTAAAAGATGCCTTTCCCCGACACCATGCTCCTGGCCTACCTTCTCAGCCTGAGCCTCCAGTGACTTCAAGTTGTTCGTCACAGTTTTCAATTCTTCTTCAAGCTCGGCACATTTGCTAATGTTTTCGATCAGAGGCAGAAAGGGTGGGAGACAAGCCAAAGGAAGGAGGAGAGAAAAAGGAGAGGGATGGGAAAAAATGAAAACCAAGTCCTAGAGACGGAGGACTGCCTTAAAGTAGCCAAATCATCAGGTATTAAAATGTTTACTTTTGCCAGGAACACTGTCCTCCAACCTTGCAATAGCAGAAGGCAGGGTGACAAAAATCCAACAACTTTGAAGTGCAATAATTTGGCTCCTTTTTTGGCTGCCCAAAGAGCATTTATGAAGGGAAAACAAAGGAGCTCAAAGGACCAAGGGAAAGCACTTAAAGCAAGATATAAATAGCAGAGGGTGAAGTGAAGGTGCAGTCGTTATACCAAACGAATCAGTAGGCATTGGAAGCTGAAAGACGTCTGGGTTGCAGTTAAACCTAAAAACCACACATGAGCCATCAGTACCTTATCCTCTGCAGCCATTAATGCTTTCAAGGTCTGATCCATTATTCTTAATTGTTCTTCCAGCTGTCGGACTTGGCTGTTAGTGGACACAGGAAATGCACAAGGCCATTCACAAAATCAGTGTGCAGGTAAGGCATGCAGTGATACACGCATTCATACATAGACACCCCAAACGAGTCCTCCATGTTCCATACTCGTGGCTCATCCACATCAAATGAGTACAAAAGGAGCCCGGAGCTGAAACAGGTAATGTGCAGCTGCCAGAAGGTCATGCTGTTTAGTCACTGCTCTGTAGCACCCCATTCGTGGCCTCCTGGTGCCGGGCCCGCTTACCCTTCTGAGAGCTCAGCCCGCTCCTCTGCACGCTCCAGGTCGCTCTCAATGATGACGAGCTTACGGGCCACCTGCAGCAGGAAAACACAGAACACACACACCATGGGTCTTGCAAGCTTAATATAGGAGGGCATAGGGGTAGGGATCAGATCCCATCACTCCCTAAGGGTTTTGTCTACAAACAATATGATTCTCTTTCTGGTAGACCAGAGAGAAGCAAGTCTCCATTAGGAGTGCCAGCAGAGGAGATCAGAGGCTTCTGCTCTGACTCAAGAGTGGTCAGTTGTGATTAAGCAGTCTCCGTTGGAAGTGTGACCCAGGTGAGACGGCAGCCAGACCAGAAGTGGAAGGAGGGAGAAAATGCAAATTCACAATCTCAAAAACAGCAGTAGGATGAGACATGATGCATTTTATACTGAAAAGGTAGGAGCTGCCAGGAAAACAAAATAAACCTAAGGCCTCCATTGACCTGGTGGCTGATCTGTCCATCTACCTCCTTACTGCAGAGGACGAATACAAGAGACACTAACATGAGACCAGTTGGTGAGACAACTGACAAAGTCAAGTTTGTATTTAATGGAAGAAACAGAAAGAGGAAGAGAGGCTCTGAAGCAGATCCAAACTAGTGAGCATAGTGTAATCTGAAAGTAATGATAATAAAAAGGAGGGGCAATACTGTCTCAGGATAGCCACAACATGATCCAATAAGGAAAAAACAAAAACCTTAATAATCATATTGCCTCTCTTATCACAGGAGGTTGTTTTCATGGGGACATGACCAGGAGCAAATTCAGCAGAAAACCTGTGTTGATAATAGTTTTTTTTTTTTTTTTAACCACCCTTGAGGAGAGAGGCCTCCATGAATCCACTGAGCAACTGTCTGTGGTCTCTAGGCTGCCCAATCTGGATGTGCTAAGTGAATCTGGAAAGAAATGACTGGCACCATGATAGCATGAGAGCCTCCTTTCACAAGACACAGGGCCCAACTCTCCCTTCTGGCCAAAGATCTTTTGTCTTGGTCTTTGTGGCTGGGGGAGAGGAGTTCTGGTCCTTCTTCTCATTGCTACTGATCAGCTTCATGATAATGCCTGGGATCCCCTAGCAGGATCAAAATTACAACCGTTTTCTTTTTTCTTTTTTTTTTTTTAGACGGAGTTTCGCTCTTGTTACCCAGGCTGGAGTGCAATGGTGCGGTCTTGGCTCACCACAACCTCCGCCTCCTGGGCTCAGGCAATTCTCCTGCCTCAGCCTCCTAAGTAGCTGGGATTATAGGCATGTGCCACCACGCCCAGCTAGTTTTTTGTATTTTTAGTAGAGACGGGGTTTCACCATGTTGACCAGGATGGTCTCGATCTCTCGACCTCGTGATCCACCCGCCTTGGCCTCCCAAAGTGCTGGGATTACAGGCTTGAGCCACCGTGCCCGGCTAGAACCGTTTTCTAGAGACAAAGGAACTTTGCTTCTCGAAACCACCCATTTATTCCAGCAAAGCAGATGGCCTCACTCAGGAATCAAGCTTGTGCTCTGCTCCCTGGCCTCCTGTAGGCCACTGCTGAGAGTCCACAAGGCTTTGGGCCCTCGGATCTGACCTCTTCATATTTGCGGTCGGCATCTTCAGCAATGTGCTTGGCCTCTTTCAGTTGGATCTCCTGAATTTCCATTTTTTCTTCATCCTTTTGGGCTCGACTTTCAATGACTTTCATGCCTCTGAAAAGAAAGACAGCAGAAAATCCAAGATTTAGAGCTGAACTCTCCAAATGCACACTGCACTGCTGTGGCCTGTGAGTCTTAGTGTAAGTGGTAGACCAAAATAGAGCACAGAGCTACTTTTATTTTCCAAACCAGGAAACAACACTTTCCAGAGCTAAAGGTAGAAAAAAGAGACACATTTCTCTCTGTTCACTGTGAAGGAACACTTCGTGCACTGATGAAACTATCAGGCATCTAACATTAGATGAAAAGTACCATGTCAGGATCCTGTTTGAATCTTGGCGGCATGAAACTGGAAAAGCCAATACGTTAAATCGATGAGATTTCTTTCCTTTCCTGTGGGAAGCCTCAGCTTGCACATGAACCAAAGCTAGAGTTAAATCAAATTTATCTTTATTTACCTCTTTCTACAAAGAATCCTCTTACTCTGCCAACCATAAGCAAAAATATTAGACTGGCTTACAAAAAAACTGCTGGTATTTGACTATTTCAGACCAGTAATAACAGCAATTTCCTATAATTCAACTGAATGCTTCAGGTTAAGTTTTACCTGTAACGGAACCCTTTCATGACAGCAATGCTGGGAGACAGGCCTGACATCGTCATCTATACTGAGTGTATTAGGGTCCTATGGCATGGTATATATTAGGGTTCTATGGCATGATGTTATGTTTCAGAAAAATACTAACCTATGATATTTTATAGCTATATGGAATAATGAGTCATGTTAAAATGGAATTCATTTATCACAATTTAAGTAGGCAGTATAAGTAAACCACTATTTTATTATCATTTTTTTGAGGCAGAGTCTCACTCTGTCACCCAGGTTAGAGTGCAATGGCGTGATCTTGGCTTGCTGCAACCTCCACCTCCCGGGTTCAAGCGATTCTCCTGCCTCAGCCTCTCGAGCAGCTGGGATTACAGGTATGCGCCACCACACCTGGCTAATTTTTGTATTTTTAGTAGATTTAGGGGTTTTGCTATGTTGTCCAGGCTGGTCTCGAACTCCTGGCCTCAAGTGATCTGCCCGCCTCAGCCTCCTAAAGTGCTGGGATTATAGGCATGAGTCCATTCTCTTTTGATGAAGCACTGGAATATAGTTGAGGAGATCTGGGTTGGAGTCTTGGCTTAGCCACAAATACGCTGTGAGCCTCGGTGTGACTCGTTATCACTCTAAGCCCTAGTTTACTCATTTGTAGAACGAAGGGACTAAACGATCCCCAAGTTCCCTTTGCTCTAAAGTCTGACATTACCAGCCTGCCTTTAAGGCGTACTGCACTAACAAGTATACTTCAGAAAGAAGTCAGCCACAAAACCGCTCTTATGTGTACACTGTAAGAGATGATTAGTCATCTTAAAGAAATGCTTGGTTAGCGAAGAAACACTAAGCAGCAGTGAATAATGGCCTAAAAACTTGGCTAAAAAATCTTCTTTAATCCTAAAGTATGAAATCACTATTTATACCTGATACCTGGTGGCAGGGTCACTTCAAAGATGGCGAAATGAACAAGGTGACTGACTGCTTTCACTTGCCCGGGTCACAGCACAGACAGATACATGTTCAGTGTTCTGAGCCCCTTCATGCTATACCATCCCTCAAGCAGCAGAATGCTCTCTTACCTCATGGAGTCTCTCTTGAAGTACTTCTATGCAATATGGCAAATCATTAATTCCAACAGTTGGGCACAAGGGAAAATGCCTTCTAGACCACACAAGGTTGTCCTGGTCTATACGAACCATGCTTTCCTTTACTACCACAAAGCTGAATCTTGGAGTAGAGCCAGGTTACAGCGGAGGTGGGCTCAGAACACACAAGCATCTGACTACCTGTGTATTAAGACCAAGTCCAAGATATTTTACTTTTGCAGACCGTATTTCTGTTTTGTGTTTTTTCTTCTACCTATTTGTTAAGCTATTTGACAACTGACAGTCCATAGTTCCTTTCTCTAGGCCTAAGACTCCTTGGTATATTTTAAAATAAAGTTATACTTTAAAAAATGCAGAATTGCTTTGTGGTCTGTAAGAATGAAAGGGCCAACTTGTATCCCAAAGTTTCTCCTTTACATACCTGTTTCCCTCATTAGATGGTGAGCTCTGTAATGGCAGGAATAGGATCTTTTTCTTTTTTGTAACCTTAGGGCTTAGGACAGTGCTTTGCACGTTAGGTGTTTCACTAATGCTAAATGAACAAAACCAACTGAGTTATACCTGGGATCCATGGAGGAAATGATCCCACCACCAGGGGACTGAAAAATTCTTAAACCTCAAAGATCACAGGAGCCCTCCAGTTTATTCCACTAGGAAAGGCAGCTGCAAAAGATGGCTGATGAGGCATTCTCACCTCTCACTCTCATCTGCTGCCTTCTCAGCTTCCTCCAGCTTCTGCAAAGCTGTTGCCAGACGCTCCTGGGCACGATCCAACTCTTCCTCAACCAGCTGGATGCGTCTGTTCAGAGAAGCTACGTCGGCTTCAGCCTAGGTAGAGAGTGAAAAGCATTTCAGAGTTGGGGAGAAAATAAGGATTGTACCTTGAGGAAGTGGCTGGAACTGCAATGCTGATTTCAGACAGGAAGACTGTCTTGTGATGAGCTACCTTTAAGTGCATTACAAGCCTTAGTCAATTCTGGAGTTCTCAGATACATTTATACATTGATTTATATAGTGAACATCCATATTTATGTACATACGAATCTATACAAACAATACTCATCAGACAGATCATTAGCAAACGGTCTTTCACATGATTCCTTTCTTCCATAAATTTCAACACCCTGGCTTTACTTGCTTGTTAAACAAGAGCATCATCACAGCCACCTGACTCACTGGGGGCCTGAAGTGTGAACTGAGACAGGACTCACCCAGGCTCAGCCATGTAAGATGATAGCAGTACGGCCAGAAATCAGACTCAAGAGTTTCACTCAACATTCTTTTCTTCTAGCCACTTTATCAAAGGAACTAAAATAGTTTAAAATTCATTGGTTCTAAAATACACACCACATGAAGGCCCAACACAATCCAACGACCCCTTTTAGAATAACTGGCCTCACTGGAACACAGCCAAGACAAATTTCCCAAATGTTTTTGACGTAAGCCTATGAAATTCCTTAGAAGTCAAGGTTAATACAAGAAAAGGTTAATAAAAGAAAAGTTACACAAGTACTGTTTTTACTTAGTATCTATCTCAGGAATAAAATGTTTGTTTGAGAGGCAATGAGCTTTTCCTATCATAAGAAATTGTTGCTATGAGCCTCAGAACACTCGTAAGACTATGACATTCCATTATACACACTTGCACTGGTGGCTGTTTAAATACTGTGCATGGAAGTGGAAGATGGAATTTACTCATCAGGTACAGCACCCTCATCCACTTTGAATATATGCTCACCAAGGGGTAGTGGGGTTTTCAGAACACTGAGGTGTTTCTAGAAATTACAATAAACACTTAGGGACCCATGGTAATAGGATAACAAATTTCTCGACATACAGCCCTGTCTTCATCATTGAACTGTAAACTGCTCACATCCAGAGAACTCACAGTTCTCTGCATAGAGTATGGGCTAAGAGGAATAACACCAATCTAATTTCAATAAAAGCAATTTTCTTAGCTTATGGATCCACAATACAGAGTCAGAAATGCAAATGTAGTTAAAAGACTGAGGTCACAGCTTTTAATCAAAGGAATCTGAGGGCCTTCAGCTATGTGCTCATCCAGATTTCTAAGACTTTAAATGCCAAGTTTTATCTGGGAAGAGAGGTAAGTAGGGCATCTCCAACTACGGTGAAGGACTCTATAAAAATATGTAGGCTGGGCACGGTGGCTCACACTGTAATCCCAGCACTTTGGGAGGCCGACGTGGGAGGATCATGAGGTTAGGAGTTTGAGACCAGCCTGACGAACATGATGAAACTTTGTCTTTACTAAAAAATACAAAAAATTAGCTGGGCATGGTGGCATGTGCCTGTAATCCCAGTTACTCAGGAAGCTGAAGCAGGAGAATTGCTTGAACCCAGGAGGTGGAAGTTGCAGTGAGCCCATGATCGCGCCACTGCTCTCCAGCCTGGGCAACAGAATGAGACCAAAAAAAAAAAAAAAAAAAAAAAAAGCATGTAAATATACTTTCATCCTGACAAAAATGTAGTGATTGGTTGATGGAGGCAGGGAGCAGGGCAAATGTGAAATAAATCAGAAGAGGAACATTTACAACTGTACTGCCTACAAAGTAAATCATTATCAGTGCACAGCTGGTAACTGGGCCCAGCTAGGAATTACTGGCAGATGACAGTTGTTTTGGGGGTTATGAGTATATTGAAGGGTGAGGGTAATACGATAACAAATTTCTTAATTACAGGGAACTGTCTTTTAAAAACCATTAGGCATTTTATTATTATTATTACCGGAAGGATGTATGTATTAAGGATACACTTTTGGGTCATGTAAGATTTCTTCACTTTTCTATATTTCCATTTTCCAGTAAAATTCTATTCCTTTTGCAGGTGGGGGGGGGGGGGCTCAAAGCTGAAGCAAAAACAAAGGGCAAAAAACAAAGCAAAACCAAAAAAACCCCGAAATTTAACACCACACAAGAAACCAAGCACACAAACCAAAGCCCTACAACAGCAGAAAGCCTCTGCAGCGTGTCTAGGTTATGTACTCCAAAGTACTGTACACTTTCTTTTCTTTCCCCCTTTCTTCTATTTAACATGAAGGCAAATATCCTTGTTACAGAGGCTATGGCCTATGAGAGAAATGCCAGCAAGATTTTCAAAACCTTTTTGTAGCCACCAGGTTGTAAGTTCTCTGCTGTGCTTTAGATCTGGGCCTAAACCTCAAGGACTTTGTACTCACTGAAAGTCAACTGTTTATGCTCTGGGGAAAGAACTCTGAGTGACAGGTCTCTGTCCCCAGCTCCCCACACAACTGAGTCACCAGAAAGGAAGGAGACAGCACCTCATGTTCATTCCAGCCTTGCACATGAGATCTCCCTACCCAAAGGGCCCCCAGCAATCCATCTACATCTTCCCGCCGATCACCCCCACCCCCATTCTTTCCCTTAGCTCTTGGCACTGAGTTTACAGAATGCTATTGTCTAAAAGTCATCTCTGTGTTTCCCCAGGGGCATTCTGTAGAACCTCAGACTCCTGGACATCAGAGAATATATCCTACAGGAAGACCAGCCAGCAGGGCTTCACAGAGGGTGCCCCAGCAGCGACTGGGCATGGAGACCCACGTCGAGGTGCCAGTTTGTGATATGGAGGGAGGAATGGTAGCACATACACAGCAGACCTGAGGGTGGCTGCCCCTTCCTGAGGAGTCCCTGCAAATCCAAAAAATGGGGTCTCAATGTTTTAGCTGGAAGGATCCCGAGGTCAGCAGTTCCCACGAGTGGCTTAGTGTCAGAATCAACTCAGAGATGAATATTAAAAAAAAAAAAAAATCAAACTTCCAGGCCCTATCCCTAGACTCTAGGGCCTAGAGATTCTGATTCAGGAGATCAAAGGGGGAGGTCAGGAATCTGTACTAAAAATAAACAACCCCCTTCACTACCACCTGAAGAAGCTGGCCATTCTTCTAGCTCTTCACTAAAAAGAGGTGGCAGGAGGGAACTCTGACCCTGACCACTGAAGTATGCAGAGGCCATATAGCCATCAGTGGGAGACAGGATTAAAACCCACGTCACCAGGCTCCTGGTGTGCTGGCTCTTCACTCTTCACTTCTCCTGGCTTCCTGGAACATGGAAGCCTTGGAACTGGCAGTTCTCACTCCTGTGTGGTCTTTATCTCTCCTGACATCAGATTTAGATGTTCTCTGGGCCCCACCCCAACTCCCCAAGAAAGGCCTCAGGGACAGACCCTAACCAGGACTAGGAGAACAGCTGCTGTAATGCAAATCATCCACTAAAGTATTTATCACAATCTTTTCGAAATTTGACAGGATATAAAATTGAAAACTTCATAAAACAACGCTAATGGGTAATAGGAAGCTCACATAAGGACACGGAGCATTTACTCCCTGGCCCCGAATTCAATGCCTACTGCTCCAGAGGTTTCAGAGCAGGACAGGTAGAGGGGCTTCGAGGTTAAAGCCAGGACCTAGCAGTAGTATCTGAGGTCACCTATCTTTATGGGAAAACCCTGAACCCATGACAGGCTCTGCAGGCCCTAGTATACTGGTCTAATAGAATTTTTGTTTAATTCCTTAGAATTCACGATCTGTTTAATTTTATAATTCAATTAGGGCTACCTTCTCTTTCTTATTTTTACTTTTTATTCTGATTTATTATGTTGTATGCTCCAAAAGCTCCACACCTGTCATCTTCACTAGCTTTTATTTCTGGTATGTTTTTTCTAAGTTTTGAGGTTATTTAGATATTTTCTTTCTTCCTTTCTTTTTTTTTAAGATGGGGTTTCACCATGTTGGCCAGGCTGGTCTCGAACTCCTGACGTCTAGTGATCTGCCCACCTTGGCCTCCCAAAGTGCTGGGATTACAGGCATGAGCCACCATACCCAGCCTTATTTAGTTATTTTCTAAGATTCTTTTCATCACAGCACCTGGGAGGGTCTTAAGAACCTGCTCTTGCCTCTGCCTTTGAGCCCACAGACACATGACCATCTGTTACTTAAAAGCAGATATAAATAACAAGGCATTTGGGGGAGGGTCAAGACCCCAGAGGCAAATTATTTCCAGGCATGTAAATCACTCTTAGTGTACTGAGTTAGCTTTCTTCTTTTTTTTGTTTTTGAGGTGGAGTCTTGCTTGCTCTGTCACCCAGGCTGGAGTGCAGTGGCGTGACCTCGGCTTACTGCAACCTCTGCCTCCTGGGGTTCAAACAATTCTGCCTCAGCCTCCCGAGTAGCTGGGCTTACAGGCATGTGCCCCACCTGGCTAATTTTTGTATTTTTAGTAGAGATGGGGTTTTGCCATGTTGGCCAGGCTGGTTTCTAACTGCTGACCTCAGGTGATCCACGCCCCTCTGCATCCCAAAGTGTTGGGATTTACAGGCGTGAGCCACCGTGCCCGGCCAAGTTAGCTTTCTTCTAACAGCAGCACACGTGCCGACTGCCAGTGAAGTCAGCTTCACTTCCGATGCCAGTTTCTTTTATTTCAAAAGTGCTATTGTGTTCTAACATGTAATGAACTACTCAAAAAAGAGACTGCTGTATTAGTAAAGGCTACTTCCTGCAAATCTGTTTTTAAATACTTCCGCTGCTCTGTACTTGAGGTGCCTTATAATGCATAGGCTTCTCCTCCAAGGTAACAGCTAAGGGCATGCACCCCATTCCCCCACCCCCCACATGGTACTATATGGAAATCAAGGGCCTCCCTACCCCAACATAGTAAAATATTACTCAAAATCAGATTTGAAAAAAAAAAAAACCACACAACTTTTATAAAGCCTAGATTTTCATGAAATCCAGATGTTTTAGCCAATACAACAACAGAAAATTTAAAATGGCAGTGACTTTTACTTTTTAA